ATATAGTAGTTTAGCTCTATGGCTAGCTGTTACCAGCGATATCAACCGCTTTTTTGAGAAAACAATTGCATATTCTGTTCTTTTTACACAATTTCCATTCAAGTCAAGATTTGTTACGATTTAAATGTTTTCAAATTAATTAAATAATTTATAGTTTATATTATAATTATATTGGTAATCATAAATCATAAAGGTTAAGAAACACAAAAAAAAAAGAAAATTTGCAAATTAATTGAACAATACACGACATTTGTACGCTTGATATAACAAAACTTTTAAAGGCTATATTTTTAATAACATATTTACAATGTACCAAAAATTTCTTACAAATAAAATTATTATTATTATTTAAAAAAAAATGTGCCAAACTAAATTACTATAAAATTATTGACTTATTTTTGACTTACATTGTACAATTAAAGACAATCATGTCTGCAATAAATTCCTCAATTTATTTAGGTAAAAAAAATGCGCCAAACTAAATTACTATAAAATTATTGACTTATTTTTGACTTACATTGTACAATTAAAGAAAATCATGTCTGCAATAAATTCCTCAATTTATTTAGGTAAAAAAAAATGCGCCAAACTAAATTACTATAAAATTATTGACTATTGAAACATTGTACAATTAAAGAAAATCATGTCTGCAATAAACTCCTCAATTTATTTAGGAAAAATAAAATTATTTACCATTCAAATAATTTAATACAATTTAATTATAAGCACAATTTCCATATTTTCGAGACGGAAAATAATCTCGGTGTTATTATGATTATGTTATTTTATAACAACGCGATATTATTATATAACGAGACAATTTAACGATATTCCCTTCATAATATTTATTGGAAGAAAAACGCGGCGCAAGAATTCTGGGAAAATTGTCTGATCGGCATTAATTTATCAATAAATTCATATTGAAGAATACTTTTATTAATAAAATCTTATTAATATTGAAAATCTTATTTATAGAATCTGTACCGTCTGTTTTGTTACTATGTACACTGTTACTTACAATTCCTTAATAACATCTTACAAAATCGGTACATTACTTTATTACATAGTATAAAACAAAGTCGTTGCCGCTGTCTGTTCGTCCCTACGTATGCTTAAATCTTTAAAATTAAACAACGGATTTTGAAACGGTTTTTTTTAGATAGATAGAGTGATTCAAGAGGAAGGTTTATATATATAATACATGTACAACACCATGCGAAGCCGGGGCGAGTAACTAGTAAAGTGATATATAGTATATTACATTATTAGTAGTAGTTTTATATCTGCGATCACTAACTTGTAAATTTAGAAATACCATACACACAGAATCTCTAAGTTTTTTTTAATAAAAATCATAATAATACTCTCAGGGCAATTCACACAGCGCCATCTAGACCAAAATTAAGCTACCTAAAGCTTGTGTTATGAGTACTACACAAGTGATACAAATATATAGATATGATATTTTAGTCTGAAATATATACATATTATACATAGAAAATAGCCAGACCGATACAAACAATCATACTCATGACGTATTCCATCTTTGAGGACTTGAACCCGCGACCATCGGTAGTAAAGCGGTGTGCTAAACCACTGGACCGCCGAGGCCGTCGGAATATTATTGTTAATAAATAGATTTATGTATACATTTTATTTTCATTGACAATATTGGAATGGTGCTTCCGCCTGCGCTATCGGTTTACGCTGGCAGGCCACCAGTAGAGAAAATAGGACAATTAGCATTATATATTTCACATTAAAACGTCCTTACTTCGTCTATAGACATCACCAATTAATCCGATTGAATTGCGACCTTTCGTTGTATTAAAGACAACAAAAACAACTCTAATACAAAGACGTAGGAAAATCAACATCGGATTCCTTTATCCACTATTGACGTAACAAAATGACGTAGCAATATATTCCATAAATAAGTCTACCGTCAAAGCTGGGAGCATAAACAGATGATAAAATTGGCTGTGAAAAGTAAATAAAGTAAGCTGGAACGGTTTATTAGATCTTATTATGGAACTACCTGGTTAATAAATAATAATAAACCTTTATATCATAGGCAGTAAGATCAAATTTATCTGTATACAAATCACCCACGTACGAATAAATAATAACATGTTATCGACAGACTCAACAATTTGTCATTCCAATTTCAAAATTTCTATGTTACCAAAACCAGCTGTAATAATATGTTTTTTTTTAATAAACAATAATTATTTATAATTAGAATAGTGCCAATATCAGCCAGGTATATATTACTCACAAAATTTATACAATTCAGAGCTAAAAAAGAGAAAAAAATAACTGCAATAATTTCAAAATTAGAATTCTACCAGCTTCTGAGTAAATTCCATTGATTTAAAGAAAGAAACCAATGAAGAATTTGAGTTGAATATATGACGTAAATAATCCGTATTAATATTATAAATGTAAAAGTATGTATGTTCGTTTGTCACATTTTTATGATTAAACAGCTAAATCGTTGTTAACAAAATTTTACATGCAGATATACGTATTATTTTGCATTACGAACACTAGTATGGGCTATTTTTTCTCTCAAAAATGATTTCAGTCAAAATGATAAAAGTCATTATTTAGTTAGTAATCCTGTGTTGCCTGTGAAAATTCACGTAAAAAGTATCCTATGATATAATAACTCTATATTATTATATCATAGGATACTTTTTACGTGCATTTTCCACCATTACCAAACATTCTTCCAATAGCTTTTGAGTGAAAAAGTATCAAATATTCACTTCATTTTTCAATGCTACTAACAGTTAATATGTTTGAATCTAATTAATTACAAACTATATAAAAAGTATTTATAATAACGTTATAGACCCAAATGAATAAATAAATGAAATAGGATATTAAATAAGAGTCAAAATCAGAATATGGAAAGATGACCCCATCATCATGGGGGATATAAAGCTAGAAAGAGACAGAGGGAGAGAAAGAGATAGAGAATTAGTTAAAGTCCTATAAAGTAAATTTGTTGCTCAATATAATTCACACACTGCACACAATGCAGTAGTCATATCGTCCAAATTGCTAACCAGTGATTTAGAGACTAATGAATGTTGAATTTCATTGAATGACTGCATCTTTATTAACTTTATTATAATTAGCACCTGATTTACTAAAATGCAATGTGCTTGTGTATTCATCAGTCGCTACTAAAAATAGCTACCGTGTACAAGTGTATACTGAGATAGAATTGTGAAAACACATCTGCGCTGGTATTGCAGTTTCACCAAATTCAGCTTGCTTTATAACAGCTTATAAAGCAAGCTGAATTTGGTGAAACTGCATATAATATGATAGAAGCTAAAGAAATTACAGGATACAATACATACATATTAATTCTCCAGACATCTCAGGACAATTCACACAGCGCCATCTAGTTCAAAGCTAAGCTATCTAGTAGAGTTAGCTACTCTTAGCAAAAAGTAGAGCTTGAGTTATAGGTACTAAACAACTGACACATATACATATATATTTGTAAATGCATACATATTATACTAAAAACTCCCAGACTGATACAAACAATCATACTTATGAATACAAATGTTTGTAACGTGCTAAGAATCGAACCAGCGACCATCGGGAGTAAGGCCAATATCCAAGTCGAGTGTACACCATCACTCATGTGAGAATAACACATGAGTGGTATCGCCGGCGTCACATCATCACGTGATATTCTTAATAATATATGTATATACAACTGTCCACTTGTCGTCAAGTAGACTGTCATCTCGTTTGACATTCGTGTTACATAAAAAACCAATCTGCACCGCCATATGTAGACTTTCAAAGATACTTTCTTGAAATATCTTATGTAAAGTCTGCCAAATTGTAACAACGCTGTCTATTGCGAAACTATGACTCACAAGAAAAAAGTACAAAAGACACACACGCATCTACAAAACATACTTATTATTTACGCCAGTGTCATCTCCTACTTTTAAAATGACAGCTACTCACTATCTGACACCACTTTACATGAAACCCTAAAGAAGGTACAACTAAATACTATTACTTTTAAGTATTTTTGTGACATCTCTCATTATTTTGCATGCTTTGTACTTGTTGTACTTGTACTTTATAATTATTGGAAATCCTTACAAAAAACACACCAAACTGCATCATCCACTACTTTAATAATAATATTTAGGAAACAATAACTAAAAGCACGTAACGTAACTATATGTCGATGAAACTAACATGCGCTCTTAGTCGCAGAATACATCACTATTCGAAAACTTAACACGATACATTTTGCACTTTCCCATTAATTACATCACTACCAAAACGTTGCTTTGTGCGTAGAACCAAAAATAGCATCGCTACACCGTTAAATACTCGAATAGCATGAGAGTCGTGCGGAAAGGCAGACGTTGTGTCTATATATAAAATCCAAATGTTGCGGAAACACCTCGACTCGCCAACACAGAATTCAACTGGCCACTGATTTTCGTTGTTGAATTAACAACTCTTCCATCGTTTGTGTAAACAGTTTTGTTCAATAAAAAAATCATAAAAGCGATCATTCTTTTGAGTGGAACGAAAGTTTGGATCCACGTAAACCCTGCCACGAAATTTTGAAGTTTCAAAGTTGCGGATAAAGGGCAAGGCTTTTTATTTCGGGCACGAAATTGACGAGTTCAGACGTTAAACTCTTTGTTTATAAGGAGATGTTTTTGACTTTAAATTAGTACACCCATAAATAAAGGCTGCCAAATAAAGTTCAGTGACTATAAATTGTAAGCGCTTGTGGATTCAATAAAACAATGGAGATAAATTATAACTTTAAAAATACTGTAAATCAACTGCCCTACAATATTTGTTTTAGTACATTTATTCCAATGCTGTAGTACTACTACCCCTTTTAAAACAAAGACATTTGGAATGTTTAATGTCTTCAGTACCTTATAGATTTAAATAATGTTCTTCTTGATCTTTATTTACTTTTTTTTCCTCAGGTACGTAAAGCAGCAAAGAAAACATGGAGCAGTTTGAGTCTCTATTGACGTGCTGTGTCTGCTTAGACCGGTACAGAAATCCAAAATTGCTGCCATGTCAGCACAGTTTTTGTATGGAACCGTGTATGGACGGCCTTGTCGACTATGTTAGACGACAGGTATGTTATTATGTATTTTTATATTGTATGTTATTTTTACAGTGTATGTTGATATTTATATAATACTAGCTGTCGCGGCAAACGATGTTTAGCCTTAAAATAAAATAAAAAAAATACGGGTGGACTACCCCTAACATTTAGTGGGATGAAAAATAGATGTTGGCCGATTCTCAGACCTACTCAATACGCTCACAAAATTTCATGAAAATCGGTCAAGCCGTTTCGGAGGAGTATGGGAACGAAAACTGTGACACAAGAATTTTATATATAAGATGAATATTAATAATAATTACCCAGGACAATTCACACTACGATGTCTACTCCCAAGCTAAGCAGAGTAAAAATTTTTGGTACTAAGCAACTAATAGAACATTTAAGTACATTTTTTTATATATATACACATACGTAGAAAATATCCATATCGATACCGACAAATATTCAAATTCTATAATATAGTTGTTTACAACATGTGAGAAATCGAACCGGCGACCATATAAATTAAGGCAGTGGACTCTTAACTCGGCCATCAAGGCCTATATAAAGTATAGAATCTTAAATAATCTCAAAATACGTAGTTTTTGTATATCGTGATATATATTTTACAGGTGAAATGTCCAGAATGCCGTGCAGAACACAGAATTCCATATCAAGGAGTTCAAGGATTTCCAACAAATGTCACGCTTCAAAGGTTTTTGGAACTACATGCTCAAATAGCAGGGGAACTTCCAGATCCTACTGCTGGGCAGGTTATGGAAAGATGTAACGTTTGCTCAGAAAAGGCATATTGTGCACTATGTGCTCATTGCGACAAAAAAGTATGCGAAGACTGCAAGTCGGCACATATGGAAGTCCTTCGTCGAGAAATATCAAGAATTAATAATCAGATTCGACGGGGTGTTAATAGACTTCAAGATATATTAAGTGTAGTCGAACGGAACACGACGAATCTCCAGACTAACTGCGCTGCAGTAGCTGGAGAGGTGGATGAAATACATAAACGATTGGCAAAAGCGTTGAAAGATAGAACCGATTTCCTTAGGAATGAGGTTGATAGATACCTTGCCACTGAACTTAGGAATCTCACCAATCTTAAAGATAATCTAGAGTTAGAGTTAAGCAATATACAAAGTAATTGTGATCTCGCTGATAAGTATATGAATGATGACGTCGAATGGGAGGATACTGAATTGGTCGACACTAAAGAAATTTTCCTAAAAACTGTTGAGTTTCTAAGAAACTTTGATTATGAAGCGGGAGATTACAATCGTAGAATGCGGTTTATCATGACACATGATCCTAATCAATTAGTACTACATGTAGCAAGCTATGGTGAACTAAATATTAGTCACCCTAACGTATATTCTGGAGGCATACAACAAAGCCAAGGACTAACAAGGTCTAAGAGTGATCATCGTTTAGCATCGCAGTTCCGACAACAAGAAGAAGCTAAAGGTTATACAGAGAATGACGAACCTATATTAGGAGGTCGTAAATTTGGAGAACGTCGTCCACCTCCGCCAGAAAAACATACAAGAGATTATTCTGCGGCTGCCGATGATTACAGTGGCTATGAATCCGAACATAGACCATCGCGAAGATTCCGTTCTCGTTTTGTCAGAAGTCACCAGCAAGATAATGACTCTGATACTGAACAAAGTACTCGTACAGTAAAGGCTGAACAACAACAAAAAGAAAAAGAAAAGGTTGCTGATACCGAAGATGCTACCCGCGGGCCTCTTAGTGGAATATTCAGATTAAGTGACTGTCCGCGTGTAATGCAAAGAATATTAGACGTCGATAGTGGCAAGAAAAAAGAAAAAAAAGAACCTGCACCACCTCCTAAACCAGTTCAGCCAGCACCTCAACCTCGTCGTCCACCTCCTTCTGCACAAAGACAGCAGAGCGAAGATGACGAAATATCACGTCTTAAACGACAAAATAAGGGTGCAGCCTCATCTCAAGAACCTGATCGAGCTACGCAGCGAACTGGAGATGATGAACGAAATTCAATAACTCGTAAACCACCTACACCAGCTCGGGAGGTGAGTTGGGAAGAAGAGAGAGAGTGAAAACAGTGACGACAATACTACGTAGAACATAGGCACATCATCGATACTAACAAGGAAAACGCGACAACTAACGGCATTCCATAATATACACTCCACGTTAACTCATTTGCACACAGTACACAACATGTAAAATATATACTGCTTTGGTGTCCATACCGAATTTCACTATATTTCTCAGGCATCCAGTGATGGTGAATCCGATGAATCCGTTGGATCTCTACAACGAACGCAGCAGCGTAAAAATGCTACACCAATACAAAAGCCAGCGGTGACAGCTAGGAGACCCTCGGCATCTGAAACATCTACCGCCCACCGACCGGCAGCTCGCGCTCCTAGTACAGAGTCTAGCGCGTCTACAGAAAGTTCCGGCTCGGCGGTAAAACATACAGGTGCGATATTAACTATTGCTGAACTAAAAGCAAAATACAGCAAAGATGGGCTTCCACCAAAATCTGGCACTCGTTTATTTTCAGCAGTCAACGAGAGAACAGCACCAGTGACAACAAATGGAACAACGGGCGGTGCTCAACGGGTACAAAGTCGTTTCGTTGGCTCTCAGCGGCCGACGCCTGTCTCTGCGCCCGCCGAGCCGGCACACGACGATTCCGATACAAGTTCTGAAGAAGAAACCGATTCCTCCGAGGAGAGCGATGAGGAGCCTGCATCGCAAAGAAAGCCCGAGAGCCAGGCGATGGCTCGTAGTGACATAGGTCCGTTACTCGCACGAAGTACAAATGCTCGAAATGATACGCATGATTCCAAATCAAAAGACACGTCTGCCCCTAATCGATATCGTTCAAGACAGACATCACAGACTGAAGATGAACCTCCATCTCGTTATAGTGCTAGTGGTTCATCATACAGTAGCCGTTATGGCAGCAAACCAAAAGAAGAAGAGCCTGCATCTTCTATAGATGATGACTCTAAATACCCCACCGCTCGATCGAGGTATCTCGCTTTAAAAGAAAGGCGAAACCGTCTCGCTAGAAGCAAAAGTAGTCACACCGGCTTTGGTGCGGGGGATGATGATGATCAAGACGAACCCGTTTCTCCAACAACGGCATCACCTTCAGCGTATCTCGCGGCTCGATACGGCTCCGGTACAGGAGGTTCGGAGCTGTCTCGCAGCCGTTCTTCACACGCGTTAAAATCTAGAGAAAGTTCGCCGGAAAGAACGGTGACTGGTGAAAAAGACGGAGCAGCTTTAAGTTCTTGGGCACGATATTTAAAGAACAAGTACGGGTCACGAGGCAAGGATAGGGACCCGGGCGGGACGTCATCGAGCACATCTCGTCGCCTGTCTCTCGGGCTACCCTTGCGTTCAGCAAATGAGCTTGCCAGTTCAGATGACGATTCAAAAAACGCGGCAGGCTCCCCCATCTCCCCTACGGCGGCTACAGCAGCGGTAGCAGGTTAGAATGACGAGTGGCGTGTAAATAGGTGTGAAGCTTGGATATTTGAGTATTTTGAAGTAATGTATTCGTGTTTTAATATTTTCGTTCGGTCTTAGGTTTCGCAGCAGCAGGTTCCTCCCCTAGGAGCCAATATCTGCAGAAACGCCGTTTACAATTCAGCGTGGGGAGCCGGGGGAGCGAACCCGGATGTTTTACTTGGCCTCGTGGTATCGCTGTAGGGCCCGACAATACAATGGTCGTGGCTGATTCTTCAAACCATCGAGTGCAGGTATTTCTGTTCGGAATCTTAATTATTTTAAGACTACAAAAATAGGTTATGTACGCACCTAACCTTGTGCCAATACGCGCGCTCGCAGATCTCAAATATTTATGTCAGACAAGTGCATTTGTTAGTATCTGGTTATAAATAGTTTCTTGTTTCTTTACGAATAGAATTTTATTTATCGATAGACTGCAAATGATTCGCAATTCATTAGTACTTTTTAATACACGAAACCTTGCAAAATTGTAATGTTCGTTTGATGAAAGTTTCGATGAGTTAAATTGTTTACTGTATTCCATGAGCTATTAGTGGAGTATTTGAAGCAGTGAAAATATAAAGTATGTACTCATAACTTTTTAATCTCCGAAATGGGAACATATTAGGAATTTCCAATACAAATTTATTATATGCTGCCCACGGTACTATTCATGTCTATATGAGAAGGTGGTCTTTAGACGAGTCTTCTATCAGGTTGTTTGTTATTCAACTGTCAGGTTGTTTGTTATTCTAGTGAAATAAAACATATATGTATTAATATTATACATTCTAAAGTGCATCTATCTATCTGGCTATTTGTTTGTTACCTTTTATCAGCTAAACGGCTGAACGAACCTTAAATGAATTTAGTATGAATGAAATACGAGGGGGAATAGTTTACAATATAATAACAATAATAATATTCTGAATGAGAATTAATACAAGAATATTATTCTTTCAGGTATTCGATTCCAACGGAATATTCATCAAGGAATTCGGCCAGTACGGCAGTGGCGAAGGAGAGTTTGATTGTTTGGCTGGAGTTGCTGTCAACCGCATTGGACAGTACATCATAGCTGATCGATATAATCATCGCATACAGGTATATTTGTTGTTGATGATGAATAGTCATTCTAACTAGTACCAGGGCATGATGAAATGATGATGTATGTTACGTATGGAGATGTTACAGGATAGAATAATGAGGATGAGATCTTACCAATCTTACCTAAGTAGATATTGTTTGTAGGTACCTGTATTTGAGTCACCAAGCTCGCTAGCTTTGTAAGCTGCGTTTCGATTGAAGGGTGAGATATGGCAGAGAAATTACAGGGTACGGAGGCATATTACCTTAGTCCTTTATATGCCGGTCTCCATGGTCTAGCGATTTAGCACAACGCCTTAATTCCAATAGTCGCCGATTCGATTCCTCAGATGGCACAAAGACATGCATGAGTAAAATTGTTTGTATCGGTTTCGGCATGTTTTAAGTATTTTACAAAAAAAAGTATCTTTATATTTGTATCAGTTATCTAGTACCCATAACAGAAACTCTGATTAGCTTGGGACAAGATGACGCTGTGTGAATTATCCTGGAAAAATATTATGAGTTTCATCATACGATGATGTGATGTTTATAGATGCTCATATATATACATAATTTTTATATTGGCAACGGTTACCACCTACCATCAAGTGGTGCATCAGCTTGTTTTCCATTACAATTTCATAAAAAAAAAGTCTCTCGTTGTGATGAATTCACTAGGAATGGTTCAAAAGCAGGATCACGTGACGTCGACTTGGTACAAAGGTCAAGAGTTATTTAATTAATTTGAAAAAAAACATGACATTATAATATATATGAAAAAAAATACTAATTCTCCATAATTAATTCCACATTAAACCACAAATCTACTTAAAATCTGATTAATAAATCAGCAGAAACAAATCCACAAACTTAATAAGAAACATTAAACGGTGACCTAAATTTAATATAACTTTAAATACAAGTCCGTAAGAATCAAAATCGAACTAAACTGTGGGAAAGTGTAATTTGTAACGGCAAAAAGAAAATGGTACTTTTATGGAATAGCGTTTAAGATTATCAGCAGCATTATGAAAAGCACTTAGAATCCTCCGTGGACTTGTTCGATCTCACTACGTATTTCCCAACGGGCTGGAACACGAATTTGTATTGATTCATGTATTTGATATTTTTTTATGAACAAACCTCCGTTCCCTCAGAATAATATAGAACGATAAATATAAGATAATATGGAAAGTACTTCATAACTCATTATGACGACAAACTATGTTTTAAATTCACTATAATAGTCCTTATATATATATATATATATATAAGATAGGATCTATTTGTATTACAAATTTAATTCAAATCCGTCATACTCGTGAATGCTGCTTGTAGAGACTGCTTCTCGTCACTACGACTGATTTAATCTTATTTAGTGACTTAACCAGCCGATTGTGTATTTAATATTTAGGCTCTAATGAATTAGTGCTTGTTACTGGTTTGTATGCACACTTTTCAACTTAAAAATATAAAGTTACAACAATTATTTAAAAGAGCAACACAAAAGTTTCTTGCTCTTTCTTCTTGTGATGAGACAGTTTACTAAATGAGCGGTATATTATAAATAAGTACAACTATTTACAAGTATTTAAATTTAAGTTTATTATTAAGAAAATGAAAACCATCCAACCATCTTTGCTATTACACCTAGCTATACTGACTAATTATTTCATTTAGTACTAGACGTTTTTAATTCTATTAGCTTGGGATATTAAAAATATTACTACTGAGTAATATTTAATATATTAATTAATGTTACTTTGAGTAGAATGTAATAATAATAATAATCTCAGGACAATTCACACAGCGCCATTTAGACCCAGCTAGCACTAGCTAAAGCTTGTGTTGTGGGTATTAGATAAGTGATACAAAGACGTAAATATATATATTTTAATACATACATATTATACATAGAAAACACCCATATCAATACAAACAATAAAACCCAAATTTTTGACAATTATATCCGTTACCCTAACGTGGTAAAAATTGGTAAAAATTTATAATAAGGCCATCTTATTGTATTAATACAAATATGTGTATATTCCATCAAGTATAGTATCTAGTATACATAGCTGTATGCCATTAGATAGTCTACTTTATTTGTTTAGAAATAAGAGAGAAAAATATATATACAGTGCTTCTCAAAAATGTTACAATATAAAAAACAAAACAAAAAGGTTAAATAAAATAAAACTTAATTTATCATGTAGATAATTAAAAATAAACATAATACAATCATTTTTTAGATACATATACATATTGGCACTGAAATGGAAATTAATGAAATGAAAATCTACTCAGCTTTATTGTATGTGAACATAATACTGGTTTTCAGTGGCATTAAAAATGAAAAAAATACATATAAAAAAGGAAGGAGAGAGAGAGAGGGCACTATTTAAAATATTAATGTTGATTTATTTACATATTTGTTTTTTTTATATGAACAGGTCTTCGACCCACAAGGACGCTTCTTAAGGGCATTTGGAACTCAAGGTACAGGCGATGGGAAATTCAACTACCCATGGGGCATCACCACGGACGCCCTCGGTTTTATATACGTATGTGACAAGGAAAACCATAGAGTGCAGGTATGTTATATTTTATTTTATATATGTGACAGAAATTCCTCGATGGTCTAGCGGTTTAGTACTCCGATGGTTGCGGGGTCGATTCCTCGCACAGTTGCACACATTTATATAAATGAAAATGATATTTGTTGGAATGAATATGATTGATGAGTATTGTACAAGGTAAGCAGAGCTTGTGTTATGTATATTAGTCAATTAGTATAAACACATAGATATTTTTTTTTAAATAAATACATAATATACATAGAAAACACCCAGACCGATACAAACAATCTTACTCATGAATACAAATGTTTTACCCTGAGAGGAATCGAACCTCCGACCATCGGAACTAATGCGGTGTGCTGAACCGCTAGACCACCGATGTATCATTATATATTTTTGTCTAGTATAACACTCTGCTTTGCTTGGAACTTAGCGCTGAGTGATTTATCAAAGCTTATTATTATCATAAAAGAAATGAAGTAGAATATGTAAGTTTATTTAAAAAAAATAAAAATCTCAATCTCTCAATTCTCATAAAAAGTAAAAATAAAAGGTATTCATATATATAAATCATATTTAATTGAGCGTGAAGTCAAGTATAATACTGTTTCATATAAATAAACCTATAGACTACAGTTGCAGAGAAATAAAATTGGAATATAATAATTAAATTACGATTTAATTAAAATGTGACGAGAAATTTGAATCGTTAGTAGCACAAAAGGCTTGTTTAAAGGAAAATGCTTATTTATAGGAAAATGAGAAGTTATTTAAATTATTATGAACGAAATACTGGTATCATTAATTAACATTAATAATTCCATTTTTCACGATGATTTATTCAATTATAAATTCGAAATATGTACAGTATAATGATAGTAATATATATATATATTATTGTGCGCAGAAAAAATATTTACAAAAAAGAGAACTTAATATAATTATGTTAACAAGCCTGGGAGATCAAAGCTTTGTGTAAAGGAAATATAGTTGACGTACTATAAAAATGGAAATACATAATATATGAATTCTAAATACATATACATGTATAATTAAAATATGCCTAACTAAATAAATAAAATAAAATACACACACATAAATAAATACATGTATAACAAAACAAAACATATTACAGAAAGATTTTTATTCTGAGAGAAAGTGAATTCTAAAAACTAAATTTTTGAAAATGGAATACATAGGTTTAAATTAAAAGAAAACGTAAAACATTTCCCAATCTTGGGTTCGAAAAACAGATTCTTTAAATATAACTGGCAGTTTTAGTGGTTACCCTATTCAGAAAAGAAAAACAACTTCAACTTTATGTATTATTAGATATACCTATATATTTTTTCTTTTTTTTCCTTAGAACAAAGAGTTATTTAAAAGAGTAACATGCAAGTTTCTAGCTCGTTCTTCTTGTCTCACTTTGTGGGTTAGAATTAGAAAAAGTAACTTTCAAAAATGCTCATATTAAGATTATTTATATTACTATTTCAACCAATACAGAATTAAATTGTTTCACCCAAGGCCAATGAACTTGCGATGTCAAATGAAAAATGGACATTAGATCTAAACGATCTGAAGAACAACATTTATTTAAAAGAACAACTCAGAAGTTATTTGCTCATTCTTCTTGTGATGACGTTCCGAATGAGTGGTAGAATCTGGAACTTTGACTATTCAAAAGCATAAATAAATGAATGAAACTCTTTATTGTTCCTCTTACAGAATACAAAATACACACAACATTATGTATAAAATGATGAAAAACAAAACAAAGAGGTAACAATGAGCGGCTTTATCGCTAATAAGCGATCTATTCCAGGAAACCTTAGAAGAGAATACGTTAGATTTGCATCTGGTAGAGGTGTAACGATGGTAACAATATTCGAAGAAATGTATATATACATATATAAAAGTGCTCATATGAAGTTCATTTGAATAAAGAATATTTCTATTTCTATTTCAACTAACATAGAATTAAGTTGTTTCATTCAAGGCCAATGAACTTGCGATTTCAAATGAAAAATGGACAATAGATCTGAACGATGAATAAGAATAATAGAGTTCTATCAAAATTCATTGGAGCACTCAAATTGGTAACGACGCTCCATTAAAATATTCGTTCCCAATATTAATTTTGTTGGCTAAACCTGACGTGAAGCTATCTGATGGTAAACGGTTGCCCGTTTACCATCAGATAGGCCGTATGCTTGTTTGGCACCTACGTTGTTATTTAAATACTTACTTCATGATATTATGTCTGTGAATCTTTTTTTTTATATAAACTGTTTCTGAATAACAATAATAATATCAGGACAATTCACACAGCGCCATCTAGTCCCAAGCTAAGCAGAGCTTGTGTTATGGGTATTAGGCAACTTATATAAATACATAGATAATTCTTTTTTGTAAATAAATACATATTATATATAGAAAACACCCAGACCGATACAAACAATCATACTCATGAATACAAATGTTTGTACCATGCGAGGAATCGAACCCACGATCATCGGATAGTAAAGCGGTGTGCTAAACCACTACACCACCGAGGCTGTCAATCTTTCCGGTTGATTTATAATTTTTCAAGCTTATTTAAAGCAGTTTTTTTTTATATAGTGGTAGTATATCTATATATATATATATATATGTGTTAGGTACATATGTGCGTATAATCTTGGTTGTTATTGATTGTTTTAATTTTATGTGTATGTATTTGTTATCTTAATTTTAGTCAGTTTAGCGTTCAATTTATATATCCATTAAGATTTTTCGGTTGATCCGTTAAAAATATACGATCATACGAATATATCGTGTATTACACTTAAAATCGAATTGACATTAAAAAAATATCTATTCTGTGTACCAAATTTCATCTAAATCTATTCAGGATTTCTTTGAAAGCGTAGTACATCCATCCTTTTTTATAAAAAATATCTTAGTAACATTATAAACGCAATAGTTTTTCAGTATGAATGGATGTTTGTTACGCAAAAATTACTGAACCAATTTTAATGAAATATTTATAATAATATAGCTTATACATCAGGATAATATATATACTATAATTTAAAAAGATATTATGTAAATTGGGGGAAATATTATGGTAAATTGAAAGTAAACGGGAAACAAATGACGTTGCACCGGTCAGCCAGTGTATTAATACTATAGGATAATTATTATAACATTTATTTATGTAATGTAATAATAATTAATGTAATTTATGTAATATTTATTTATGTAATATATTCATAAATATTTTCTAATTCAGGTATTTCAATCTGATGGCACGTTCGTGGGCAAATTCGGTAACTTCGGTTCGAAGTTAGGCCAGCTTGAACATCCTCACTACATAGCTGTCTCCAGTACCAACCGAGTCCTGGTCTCCGACTCCAACAATCACAGGGTCCAGGTCTTCGACGTGAATGGAAGAGTGCTCTCTTCATTTGGAGAGGAAGGCTCTGAAGATGGACAATTCAAATTCCCAAGGTAATTCTTCAACAAAGAATCTGTTTTCATATTTTTTAAAGTTATAGAAATGTTCAACAAGCTGGTAATAATCTATTTAAATCACGATGATCTGAGCCAAAGTTCGAACTCCTAGCGGTGGTCTTAGACTAGACGTATCCATCGGAAAAGAGTTGATCTTCAAACGCTCCATAAGTCCTTCCGCGTCTTTAAACTAAACAGCTTGGTAGCAGAAAATATAGAATAATTAGATACCTAGACAACTTTATTTTACTTTGACGAAGTCTATCTCGGTAGGATAACTTAAAGACCTTTAAACTCTTTCTTTCTATGTAATGCTACCTTATAATTACTCGTCTCATAAATACATTGCAAATTTCGAATATCGAATTTCATAAGAATAGTACGATTGATATTATTGAACTATCTATAAATGTATTTAATCAACTTTAATAAGTATTTTAAAGGACTGATATTCAGAACAATAAAAATGATTTGAAATTGGAATTTTCATTTTTTGGAAAATTAATAAAACATTCCATTTTTAAATATATTTTGATAATAGAACAATTTTATTCACTTCTTATAATTTAAATGTAATAGACAATTAAAATCCATTACAATTATTTTGTAGGAAGTGAATTAGTTGTGTTCCATTTTTAAATAGTTTAAGTACATTTAAGATTCGAATTTCGAATTTACTAATTAAGCAATATCGAGAATTATTTAAGAGTAGGGTCACATAACGTCATAAATTATATCCACATATAATACAATTGTAATAAGGAATCGAACGGACCTCCATCAACACCTATAAATCAACAGTAACCGGTACGCGTTTGAAATATCAACATAGTAGCTAATGTTATGGTATAACTGCAACCCTATGCCTCCAATAGCCCATAAACTTTGGTTGACTGGTCTTCTAATTTCACTTTACGATCGGCTAAACTACATATTTGCGCTCCAAATATTTACGTCTGCCTCGGAACGTTTAAACAATATTTTTTATTACTTGACTAGTCAAGTCAGGGAGAGTGGATATAGATGTTTGCATACATATTTTTGATCACTGTTTTACCTACTTTTACAAGCAGCTCTGCACTGGCTCTAGAAAGAAAATACAGAATATATTTTGTATCTTGTGACTTATCCTCAGATAACTCTCGAATTTATTTTGTTACTGAAGTAATTAATTATTTCTTTATATTAATTTGGCAGTTTATATTCATATTAAATTCTTAAAAATGTAAATCTGAATAACATTTATTTAAAAAAGCAATACTGCGTTCCAAATGAGTGGCACAATAAAAAATATGATTATTTAAAAGTGCTAATATTAAATTTATTTCAATAACGATTATTTTATGTTTAATAACATTTTTCTTGACTATAGCGGACAGTAATTATTGCTATCCTTAAGGATTAAGGTATCTTTATTGTCAACATACCTTCTAATTCCTCTGCCATGTTTGTGCGTCTTCTCTAGTAATTGAGTAAGACAGAGGCGCCCACGCAGACGACGCAATACGCACAAAATAGTCTGGTTTATTTTCTTAAAAAAATATTGCATGTATGAGTCTGTAAATGAATGGACAATAAAGTTTCGTTTATCTTTGTGTAAAAGATACAACAGTGTCCAAGTGTTCTTGGCCGAATTCTTCACGTACAGTGTAATAATATTGACCCAGATTTGCAATAAAAATAAACGTATGTAAATCAAGATACACGAACGAACGGTTTTAACGATATAAAATGTATTTTCATAAAGAAAAATTGAGATCAAGGTTTAATATTTTTATCAAGGCTGACGGTAATTTAAAATTCTATTTATGTCTCTTTTTAATTGTCAGCTACGATGGTCTAGCGGTTTAGCACCTGTACTTCCGATGGTCGCGTGTTCGATTTCTCGCACGGCATTGTATTCATGATTGTTTGTATTGGTCTGGGTGTTTTCTATATATATTTACAAATAATATGTATTTACAAAAAAAAAATCTAAATAATCATTTATCATAACCAAAGCTATGCTTGCTGAGGAACTAGATGGCGCTGTGTTAATTGTACAGGGTTATTTATTTGTTATTTGAATAGAATTACTTATTTACTTTATTGGGGGTTTTTGGCTATTGTCAGGTGCTAAGACTTGTCACACTATGACCTGCATTGATCTATTATGCTGGCCCGCAGAAAGTTCCCTAACTGGACCCGTGAAGGACAAGAATTGAAGGATATTCATATTGGTTTTTATCTCCTCAGGATAGAGAATAACTACCACTTTCTGTTATCCAGAAATATAAATATTTAACAAAGTTTTTATTTGGTATCGGCCAGATTCAAACTCTGGACCCCTTGAGCGTAAGGTAGGCCACTACATTCTCTTCAATACTACATCGTAAGGTATCATTAAACATATATGTTTGTCTACAGGGGTGTGGCTGTCGACGATCAAGGCTACATAGTAGTGGCTGACTCCGGAAACAATCGTATCCAGATCTTCCATCCTGACGGGACCTTCCTCCGAGCCTTTGGGTCCTGGGGATCTGGGGACGGAGAGTTCAAAGGCCTGGAGGGCATTGCTGTTATGTCTGGCGGGAACATTATTGTATGCGACAGAGAAAATCATAGGGTACAGGTGTTTTGAGGTACGTACATATATACTTACTAAAAGAACAGTGTGAGGGAAAATACTGTAATCTGGAAGCGCCTGTCTCGATTCTTCTAAGGGTTTCTTGGGTATCTTAACACAGGCCAGCATCTCGTTGATGTTTTCAATAGCATTCACAGTTCACACACTAGGTTTCACACTCAGTTTATAATTAATTTTATTATAGGAATCGTGCGCGCGCATTGAATGCTGATACGGTCGATTCTGTCATAATTCATGGACTCAACTGAGCCGAGAGGGAGCTTAGGAGGGCAGAGATATGTTCTAATATAATAATCTGTGCTTACAATGGGTATAGGGTAGATTCTGAACAAATAGAAAAGGTGACCAAAAGCATCTATTTACACACGGGCCTAAAATCTGTAGGGATTTCAGAGCAGTGTGGAGAGTCATAAACGTCACGTCACGTCAGGGAGAGTAATAATTATGGTTATACTTTTGCTTCCAAACCTAGGATTCTTTAATGTTTTTTATATTGGAAAGTCATCTTTGTATGCAATTGAATATGTAACAGATTATAATAAAATGTCTAACAATCTTTATATATTTTTTATATTACCATATAATTAAGATATGCAGTTGTATAATATTTCAAACATATTTAATGTTCTATGTTGTTAATAATACTTAACTTTTAATTATTAAAATATCTCTATGAATTGTCATATCAAATAATTCTAAACTACTAATATTAATATAACGATATTGACGAAGGTATCATGTTCTTTATAATATTACGCAAATAAAACACTATTTACCATCAAACATTATTAACAAATAAAAGAATCACGATTTTATTAAAAAATAAAAAACATTTTTTTTATTTCAGATGGACATCGTATTGTTCAATAGAAATGGCAAAACAACACCAGCAGCATTAATACTACGTTTCATAAATAATTTTTAAGTAGTTTTTTTTTTGTAAATAAATTGTAAAATCTTACAATATTTACTATTTTCAGTAATAATGTCATTTGCTACCATACACATGTTTGCGTTCCAAACGTTTTTGTTACCTATTAAAAATAAAACTTTTTTTTATATATTATTTTTTAATTTTTTGTTTGACAAAAAATTGAAAATTAGATTAACAATCAATAAATTAGTTCAATATTCTATGACGATATTTGAAATATGGTTACCGTCGTTTAAGTAATACTAATTACAGAATAATTACAGAAAAAGATCAAAAATAACTGTCAAAAACATAGAAGAAAAGATAATAAAAATACAAAAATAGTTACCTACCAGTCCTTAGTATATAAATTAAGCTAAATATATAGTTTATTAGTCATTAGGTCGTCTGCCGATAACAAATGCACTAATCTGAACGTTAGTCGCATTCGGGCAACCTGACGACTAAACGAATGTATATCAGCAGCCTAATTTATTATTCTTAATAGGTATAACAACTAAAAACAGCAAGTAATATTATAAAAAAAAAAAAATATTATATCCAGCACTTGAAAAGAACAAAATATATTTTTATCAATTTAATCACAAAATTAAAAAGTCGGAAGTCAAACCTTTTCATTAAATATTTTCGATGATTCTTGTCACTCACGGCACGTTTTAAGGTTGACCGATTTGCTGAAAATTTCAAACAGGAAACTGCATTTTGCTCCTCTTTATCCCAGCCATTTTATAGACATACAATGTGAAAATACGGTTTTTATTTATTTGATTAAGTACAAAATTCTATAAATATATTGCATAATATTTAACTTAGGTTACTATTTCAGTCCCATATTCTCATCTCATAGTCAAATCATAATTATGTATATAGAGGAGGCAATCGATACCAAGACGAACAAAAAACCGGTATAGTCGCAAATATTTTACCCTCAATATCATATAAAAAACTACAGTTATTATAAAAAACATAGACAATAAAAAAGATATATTTCCAACAATAGACAATAACTAAACTAAAAAAATCTGCAATAAGTATCAAAACTCTAAAATTAAGAGGGCTGACAAATAATTTTGTGAATAGAAATTGACTTCTAAGTAATATATTTCAAGTTTGCAACGAAATTAAATACGCTTTTCATAGTCAATCATTGTCAGACACTCGTTATTACACTCAACACTTAGACAAATGAAAGACTAATCGATGGATCGATTACAAACCCAATGACAACGGCTTATTACGTCTATTTTACAAGATTCATGATTTAATATTTAAAGTGTAGTACATTTAAAAAATTCTATAAAATATTTAAATAATGATTTATATATTCGTAATGCTCTTTTTAATTAGTTATATCGTTTTTAAGTACTATATATGACTGATTTATATATTTTACACGTATTACAGGATTGATGAAGTATTCTGTAGAATTTGTCGTGAACGTAGTACGGAATAAACAAATATAATAATTTTAATATGACATTGGAAAACCTAATATGATCAAATATATGTATATATATACTATGTCAGTTAATAGTGTTTATCATCACTGGAACGTTTGAGTCATCATCCAAATCTTCTTTATCTGGAACACTATGAGTACCTTGGAGTCATCGCCGTATACGTCTTAAGCACGAGATAAGGCTGTGGAAATAACAGAATGACAGAATGGTAGTACTCTGGAATGACAGCGTATGAGTGCTATGACGGGTGTCACATGATAACGTGATGTAGTGCTGTTCATGTAAATTGGACTCTATTCTTCGCAATTAGCCTCTCATTTTCTCTTCTTTCTCTTCTCAAAAACTGAGCGATATCTTGCCAACAAACTGTTCTACAGTTTGGCGAGTCAATGTATAAAAACAACTGTCTATCAACATGTAAATCTTTATTAAATAATTAAAAAAAAAAAATGTAGGCCGTGCCTATTGCTAAAGCCGAGACTATTAAAGTAGCTAGCCAAGCTTCTATAGGCGCTTCTCATATAGCAATGATATAGGCAGATGTCATTTTATTTGTGATCAGTTACATAAAAAAAAATAAGTTTATCTGAAACGGCATGCCCTGTAACCTATAGGATGTGAGTGGAATAGTGATTAAGTTGATCGAAAGATGCGAGATGTCGACTTTTGTATTCCGCCGTACACTCTATGATTTAGTAATCGAGTAGTTCCGTAAAGTGCGTAATAAAATTTTGATTACCCAAGACATTTCAGATATGTAGGCAGTCGTTTGTAATATGAACATATATATTCGATACATGTCCGTGATTCTTGTAAAAAAATCCGGTAGGCAATTTTATATCTTATATTTGATTTTGGGCTTCAGGCAATAGCATAAACATAGGTATATAGGTACATGTTTTGTTATCAGGTTTATGTTCTTTGCTATATTTGGTAATAAAACAGTATTGTCATTTCGGTGTTTACTTCTAATATATACGTATATAAAGAATGTTGTAAGTTTAATTATATTTTCGATGAACTCTCCGGTGATGGTGAACATTGTTTGCGAACTAATTAATCCGGAAAACACCAGTATACTTGCAAGAGTTTATATATATATTTCCCAACTATATGTACTTAAGGTTTTTTTTTAGTTTCTTTATCTATACATATCGACGGAAGAAAGCGGAATCGTCGTAACTTGGAAACCCAATTTCAAAAATTCTTAACTAATTGATATTTATCGAGGTAGAAAGTTATTATATATATAATATATATATATAAACCTGAAGCATTGCCTTTTTTATCTTCGAAATATGCCGATAGACAATCTTTAGCTGATCGGACGGATACAGCAGGATTTTTACCCACTAATAAACCCGTCGTGGGGTTCTTGTAAAGAAAGAAAGAAAGAAAAATATTTTATTCAGTGCAATGTAAAAAATACAATATAAACAACAAACGAAAAAAAGAGCAAAAAAAATAACAATTAAATCCATGCGAGATTCATACCCACTAAAAATCCTAAATGCTGCCATCTTGGATTCAAATATATTATCATGTAAAGGTTCCTCTCAACAGTCGACTGATTTACAATAAATAGTTTTTTTTTAAACTCCTATGCTTTGTTATTATTAAAAGTATATAAAGTTACATCTAGTCATTTAGTTAATTTTAATTTACTCGCTTACTATTTCACATTTTTGGCTGATTTATTAAATATATATTTATATTTAATATAAATTTATATAAATGAATAAGATATTTAAAAGAGTGCATTATAATTTACATTTTGTATAATTTGTTATTTGAAACGTAAACCAATAAAATAATAAAACAATGTAAATGAAAATAAAGATTACAATTAAATTACAATGTATTAGATATGATTTACAATTCATTAAATATAAAATAATTAGTTTTATTTATAATTAAATGTCAATTAACATCGCTGCTTTTGCTTCCTGATAAAAATGTACCTACTTAGTTAAGGTTTATGTTTACACTGGACTTTTATAAGTGCAATACTGTATGATTTTTGAAGTTTTAATAAAAAAAAATCTGTTATGTATTAGTGTTTTATTTAAAGTTTATATACCTCATCATACATAGTCCCGAACGACAGTGAAAGCTGTAACAAACTCATGTAGACATTAAATGTTTACTCAAAAAACAATTAGTACACTTTGTAAGACCTATGTAAGGTCAAAAAATAGTAGTTAAAATGTTTGTTTGCTTTTGTACGAAATTCTCAATTCGCAGAAAATATTTACTTCACTCTAATCATAAATTTTATCAGAAATAAAAAGGACTATTACTACTATACATTACATAACAATAAATTTAATTAAATTATAACAAATAAAATTGCAATAATTTTTAAAATTACTCAATAACATTATTTTTACTTGTAATTATTCTAATGAACATAATAAATGTTCTTGATTGCAAAAATTACTAACATAAAAACGTGTCAATGAGGCAGTTTTGATGGTTAATTTGTTTAAAAATTCAATGTTCAAAAATTCAAAACTCGAGAATGGGACCTTTATGCAAAACTGCGCTATGGCTCGCTAAACGTTGAATTGTCCTTCATTTTTACGGCGGTCCATAATATTTTTTGTGACAAGCGTAGCGTCTGACAAAAGAAAAGTGACTAAGTGAAGTAAACAAGGAAAGTCGAGGTAAATTGAACAATGGTATTATTGTTAAGTTCACCTGGACATCTGGTGTTTGTTGTGGGCAAATCTTATAAACACTAGGTGCAGAATTTCTAGCAAATTAGAATGTTATCGTTTAAGGCGACGCCGTGATAAACTATTACTTCAAAATCGGGCCCCGCGGTCTGCGCACCTCATGCACCCCGATAGTTTTACGTATCGCCGATCGACCGCCAGCGCTCGCTCGTACCACGCTATCTCCCCGTACCACGATATCACGAACACGCGTCCGTGTCGCAATGTAACGCGTGAATCAAGTAGACGAAGCTTCGGTCCCCAATTGAACAAAACTATTACGGAGTCTTCCTGTTTGTTTATATAATTTATATTTATGAAGGCACATTGATATTTTAGAATTTACAATACAGTGGAACTAACTACGATACGAATTAATTATAAAGATTCTTAAAGTAAAGAATTAAATAGAAATATTGAGGTAGAGTTACATATTTCCGTGATTATAATTAACTTAAACTAGTGCTTTTATTACTATCTTTGAAAGAAACACCAAAAAATAATCTTTGTGTTTTCCGTATATATTGTAATTGGTAATTACGACGTTTATTTATTTGCCAACGACATTTTTTTGAAACAGCTAGATATTTTAATGTATACTACATTAACTTACTTACGTTAAATGAAATGTGAAAATATACGAAGGTTAGTTACTTTATAAAAGAGACAGTAAGTCTACGTTTCTGTGAATGATAGGTATATCAATTAAAAAATCTATATATATTATATATTTGATACAATAAACCTAAATTTAGCAATAATGTATGTGACTTTAATTTTATTTATTTGATACGCGTAGTGGACAATATTTCTTTATGTTTTAGAAAGTATATTTTTAAAAATGCGTAAGTAATTTAACATTATATGTAAGTAAAGTACCTAAAGATATACACTTTATGACAAAATAGTAAAACTTTTACAGTAATTTATAAATTATTATAATAAATATTAAGTTTTAATTACATGTAAAAAGGACGTGAACAATTACAACCTAAACATAAAAGATCTATTAACTTCATACAAATGAAATTATTGAATAATTATAGGTTTGAACATGATTATTTATATTTTTAT